CAGAGTCAGATGGGAGATGGCAGTCATCTTACGGGGGACATGCAGACCGTCCCTGTTTTTGTTGAGGATCGTGATGAGATCGATCGCCGGCTGAATGCTTTCCGTAAGCATAAGCCACCTGCCTTTGATGGATCCTTTGATCCTGTTGCTGCGGCACGTTGGCTTCAGGCGTTGGACAAGATATTTCGGGTCATGCAGTGCACAGATCCGCAGAAGTTGATGTTCGCTACTTACATGCTGGAGGGCGATGCCCATGAGTGGTGGACAAACCTTTCTCATGTCTACGAGATGCAGGGTCATGTGATGACTTGGCCTATGTTTGAGGACTTCTTCTTGGGTCAATACTTTCCATATGACGCTCAGGAGAGGCAGCAGGGAGAGTTTGACAGATTGGTCCAGGGCTCGTTGTCTGTGGACGAGTACTTGGCCAAGTTCAACCAGTTGGTGAAGTTTGCACACTTCAGGATGGCGAGACCTACTCCTACATTTCTGGCTGCTAAGTTCCGCAGGGGACTTAGTGAGGATATTGCTGGTTACCTAGCTGGTTCTGCTTCTAGGGATTTTGGGACACTGGTTCAGTAGTGTCGTGATATTGAAGATTACTACAGCTCGAGTAAGGCAAGAAGGCCAAGGTTGCTGAGGCGACGAAGCTTGCAGCTGGTAGTTCCACTTCTTGGCGAGACAGGAAGTTTGGGAACAAGGGTAAGGGTAAACAGTTGGCAGCTCGGCAGGCGCCGAGCCAGTTCAAGAGGGCTTCTGCTCAGGGGAGTGCAGCGATACCTCCTGCTCCCAGGTGTTCGGGATGCGGCAAGACTCATTTTGGGCCATGCTCTACCGGACAGTTGATTTGCTTTCAGTGTGGCAAGGAGGGCCACTTCTCCAGAGACTGTCCGTCGGCGACGGCGAAGGCTACTGCAGTGCAGGCAATGCCACTACAGATGGTTCCCCTTCCACCTACTTCGGCACCGGTAGTGCCACCATCTTATGGGAGAGTTTATACTCTGGATCGTCAGCAGTCGGATCGAGCTCCGAACCTTGTCAGAGGTACTGTTACGATTGGTTCATCAGCTGTTGATGTGTTGTTTGACTCTGGAGCTACGCATTCTTTTGTTGCTACCCCGATTGCTGTGGGGCTTGAGTTGCCCAGTGGTGTGCTTTCTCCACCGATGTGGGTGACTACCGCCACCGGAGAAAGATGTGATGCTACCACTGTTCATCGCGATGTGGCGTTTCAGTGGGATGGCCGTGAGATCTAGGTAGATCTGATAGGGTTGCCGATGGCCAACTTGGAGGTTATTCTGGGCATGGATTGGCTGTCCAGAATTGTGTGATGATTGACTGTTGTGCCAAGCGTGTAGTGTTGTCTCCGTGTGATTCCACAGCCAGTTCCTCGCCGTACATTTCGTTGCTGCAGGCTAGGAGAGCCTTGAGAGCAGGGGCATTTGGTTATGTCATGTTGGGAGGTTTGGTGAGTGGTACACAGGAGGATATCACTGGCATTCCTGTGGTGAGGGAGTTCCTCGAGGTGTTTCCTGAGTTTCCGCCACAGAGGGAGATAGAGTTCTCCATAGATTTATTGCCTGGTGTGGGGCCGATTTCTTTAGCTCCATACCGGATGTCGCCACTGGAGTTGGCAAAGCTGAAGAAGCATATTGAGGATCTTTCAGCGAAAGATTTCATTAGACCGAGTGTGTCTCCTTGGGGAGCACCGGTTATCTTTGTGAAGAAGAAGGACGGGACAATGCGATTGTGCACTGACTTCAGGCAGCTGAACAAGGTGACAATCAAGAACAAGTATCCCCTTCCTCAGATAGATGATCTGTTGGATCAACTTAGGGGTGCTTGTGTGTATTCCAAGATTGATCTCCGGTCCGGATACCATCAGATTCGGGTGAAGCCGGAGGATGTCCCGAAGACCGCATTTCGCTTGAGATATGGTCATTTTGAGTACTTGGTGATTCCGTTCGGTCTCACCAATGCACCCGCTGTGTTCATGGATTACATGAACCGGATTTTCCAGCCGTACCTGGATCAGTTTGTGATCGTCTTCATTGACGAAATTTTGATTTAATCCAAGACGGAGGAGGAGCATGTGGGGCATTTGAGAACTGTTCTGCAAGTGCTAAAGGAGAAGAAGCTGTATGCGAAACCTTCCAAATGTGAGTTCTGGCTCAAGTCTGTGAAGTTCCTTGGGCATGTTATTTCTGCTGAGGGAGTTGCAGTGGATCCGAACAAGATTGAGGCCGTACTGGATTGGGAGAGACCCAAGACAGTTACGAAAGTGAGGAGTTTTCTGGGTTTGGTAGGTTACTATCGGAGGTTCATCAAGGGATTCTCCACCATGGTTTTGCAATTGACTCGCCTTACTCGGAAGGAGACTCCATTTGTGTGGACTCACGAGTGTGAGGTCTGTTTTCAGGATTTGAAGGAGAGACTGACTACTGCTCCTGTGTTGGTCTTTCCTGATCCTGCGCTTGAGATTGAGCTTTACACCGACGCCTCCGAGAAGGGGCTAGGTTGTGTGTTGATGCAGTTGGGCAAAGTGATCGCCTATGCTTCAAGGCAGGTGAAACCTCATGAGGAGAACTACCCTACTCATGACTTGGAGTTGGCTGCTATTGTGTTTGCTTTCAAGATTTGGAGGCATTATCTTTTTGGTTTGAGGTTTGTGGTGTTCAGTGACCACAAGAGTTTGAAGTACCTGTTCGACCAGAAGGAGTTGAACATGAGGCAGAGGAGATGGATGGAGTTCATAAAGGACTACGACTTCGAGCTAAGGTATCATCCTGGCAAGGCCAATGTGGAAGCTGATGCTTTGAGTCGGAAATCCAGTAATTCATCCAGTTTGTTACTTGGTAACTTCGATGTGGTTGAGAAGTTTTGCAACTTGGCAGTGACCGCTCCGTGTGAGAGTGTACTTCTCGGATTGGAAGCATCTGATGTGGTGAGCGAGCTGCTTGAAAAGATTAAAGAGGCACAAGTTAAGAGAGAGTGTCTGGATTATGTGAAGAACCAAGACAGTGTGTCTTGGAATGATGATGGATTGCTTTTGTTTCAGCAGAGGATTGTAGTTCCTCGAGGCCCGTTGACAGAGGAGGTTATGGCAGAGGGCCATAAGGGTCAGTTTTCTATCCACCCTGGTGCTACTAAGATGTATCAAGACTTGAAGAAGAACTTCTGGTGGCCGGGCATGAAGAAAGATGTTGCTATCTTTGTGTCCAAGTGTTTGGTTTGCCAGAAGGTGAAGATTAAGCATCAGAGACCGTCTGGTGAACTTCAACCTCTTGAAGTACCACAGTGGAAGTGGGAAGGTATTTCCATGGACTTCGTGGTGGGATTGCCGAAGACTCAGGCGGGTTGTGACTCTATTTGGGTCATTGTGGACAGACTGACGAAGTCTGCCCATTTTCTTCCAGTGAAGGTGAGCTTCACTACAGAGCAGTTGGCCAAGCTTTATGTCCGCGAGATTGTGAGGCTTCACGGGGTGCCCGAGAGTATCATTAGTGATAGGGACCCGAAGTTCTGGGAGGCGCTGCAGGAGGCTTTTGGTACGCAGTTGAGATTGAGTACCGCCTATCACCCTCAGACTGATGGACAGACTGAGAGGACCATCCAGACCTTGGAGGACATGTTGCGAGCTTGCACGTTGGAGCAGGGCTCGGCATGGGATAGGTACCTTCCGTTAGTTGAGTTTTCTTACAACAACAGCTTTCATGCTAGCCTGGGCATGGCGCCCTACGAAGCACTGTATGGTAGGAGGTGTCGGACTCCTACTTGTTTGTCTGAGGTTGGGGACAAGGAGCTTTTTGGCTTGGATTTTGTCCAAGATACCACCTTGCAGATCCAGATGATCCGTGAAAAGTTGAAGCAGGCGCAGAATTGCCAGAAGAGCTATTACGATATCAAGCATCGTCCGCTGGAGTTCAGTGAGGGTGAGCACGTGTTTGTGAGACTTTCACCTGTCACCGGTGTAGGTCGGGCACTCGGAGTGAGGAAGCTGAGCCCGCGATATATTGCGTCATACCAGATCCTTGGTAGAGTAGGACCTGTTGCCTACCGGCTTGCCTTGCCTCCGAACCTGGCTAACATCCACGACGTGTTTCACGTGTCTCAACTTCGGAAGTACATAGCAGATCCTTCGTACGTGGTGCAACCGGATGATGTGGAGGTTCGGGAGAACCTAAAGACTCCCGTCGGACCACTCAGAATTCTCGATCGTGGCGAGAAGCAGCTGAGGAGCAAGATCATTTCAATGGTCAAGGTGTAGTGGACCGGAAGAACTCCTGAGGAGTGTACTTGGGAGCGTGAGGACGAGCTTCTCCGGCAGTACCCTGAGTTTCGACCAGGTATGTTTCTGATTTTGAGGTCAAAATTCTAAAAAGGTGGGGTGAATGTAAGAATCTGCACCGTTAATTAAGGTATTTAATTAATTAATTATGCAAAAATAGGAAATGATTCCATAATTGACCCTAACAATTATTTATGAGGCTTAATAATCATAATAAGTGATTAAGAATGCTGAAAGTCACTTTTCGGAAGAAAAGTGCAGATACCGGTTCTGCTAGTCGGTATAAATGCGTACCGAAAAAGTATCCCAGAAAATTAAAGTAAGTGCATGATAATTACTAGAATAATATGTAGGACTTGTAAAACGAGTTTCAAGTCCGAATAATGAGAACTGGTGCTAGAAACCGGTACTGGCTTTGAAAAGCGCGTACCGAAAAGTTGCTCAGAAAAATATAAGAAAAATATGTTAATTCTTATAAAATTATGTAGTTTCATAATCCAAAGTTTGGGATTAAAATGCTAAGCGTAGAAATTAAAGTTAATACTGTGTGTTTAATGAGTAAGTGTCTATAAATATGGCTTTTAAGGGGCACACAACCCTAGATAACTACTTGGCTGCGTGGCTTCTCTTGGAGGCTGACCACAAAGAGTGTTCTTAAGCTTCCTTCTCCATTTCTTGAGCAAGCATTAACCTTTGATGCTTGTTCTTTCCTTTAAACACTTGGTAAGGGTGAGGGTTGGCCGTGGGACTGCATTGTGGTGTTGTTTCTGAGTTGTGAAGTCTGTGTGAGGGAGGTTTGGTTGCTGACTTGTTGGTTTTGGGTTGAGAGAAGCTTGGTTTTGGTTTTTGGAGGTCCAAGTGGTGACCTTTGTGTTAAAGAACCAACCTTTGTGAAGCCATTTTCGTACATCTTCCTTGAATCAGACTTGAGGGGCTGTGTTGAGCTCCAAGAGCATCTCCCTATGCTGTTTTTGAGCTGTGGTATGATCACCAACCTTTAACTTGAGTTTTAAGGCTTAAAAATGGTACCTTGATGCATCTAATGACTAAAAGATGATAACTTGTTGTTGGGTAATGTTGAACACGCTTAGAAATGCATGATTAGATGTTTAAAATCGGTAAAAAGGGAACCTTTGAGGGATATCTTCACGAAAATGCAGAAACTATGTAATGTCCCACATCGGTTGGAGAGGGGAACAAAGCATGCCTTATAAGGGTGTGGATACCTCTTCTAGTGTGAGGCCTTTTGTGGGGTGTCCCAAGAAACAAAATCGTGAGCCCGAGGGCAAAGCGGACAATATCATGCTACAGGGTTTGGGGCTGTTACATTTGGTATCAGAGCCTGGCCCTGGACCGGTGTGTACAACGGGGACGCTGTATTCCCAGTGGGTTTAGAAACACTAATCATGTAATTAGTGATGTTAATGAACTAGTGTATAATTGATGATGTGGAATTACATAAATGGTATTATAAATAGAAAAACCCTAAAATTATGTTCACTTAAGGTTTCAAACTAAACCTAATTAGGGTTTACTAATTAAACCTAATTAAAAGGTCAAATGCTAACTTAAGCCTAAGGTGAGTTTAAATCCACATAGGTATGTAATTAAATGATGGAAAATCATAAGGAAATACCCTATGTATAATTTGGCCATACGTTGATTAATTAGGATTTAGGGTTGCAAAATGGTAATGGATGATGGATTAGGGTTGGATTGTGTAATTAAGGATTAATTCAACTTGTGAATTGAAGTGAGTTGATTTTCCTTGATGTGGGACCTTGTTATATGCCACGACCAAGTAAGGAATTGTGACCTTAAATTGGTTGATCTTTGAGTTTGTGACTTAGAGTATAATTAATTAAGTTAAAAAGGCTTAAAAGTGAATGATCTTTGAGAAATGGATTGTGATTCTTTGAATTGTCCTAAGTTGTGGACTTAAGTCTTAAGATCCTAATGTGAATTAATGTTCAAGGTTATGAATGACATATAAGGATGATGAATGTCTTGATTAGTAGTAAGATAAGTGGAAAATGCCTTAACCTAAGAGAGTTTATTGATGGACTAAGTGTCTCAAAAATTGTTGTGGACTTAGGTAACAAATGAACACCTTGTATACCTAATGTATGTCACGGCCATGAAGGATGTGTATGCCTAGGATGTGTTGAAAATAATCCAAGTTATCTTAGTTTCCCTAGAGTTTAATTCTAAGATGATTGAAGTGCTTAAATCACGTAGTTGTTTGTGTTGTAAGACAACACTTCTATATAAGCTAAAACATATAATTATGTAATTAATGGTCTAGACTTGTGTTGGGCATATTATTGGCATGAGTATGTAAAAAAGAAATGGAATCAATAAATGGCTAAGTCTTGTATATTTACTTGACCAATTAATATGTAATTAATGGACATGTATGATTCCTTCTCTAGGTGTGCCTAGAGATACTTGCTTGTGAGGACATTGAGTTAGAGCATACGTACTTGCCTTGGTAAGTGTGCTTAAGTATATCTCTCCGAGGTATGCTCTTTGTTTAGGATGTTACTCTTCACTTGTGACTCCACCATGATGGTGGACATTATGGTTGCATTGTATGAGAGTATGAGATATGCTGTATATGTGTATTCATTCATATTTATATAGAGATTATATAATTCATCATGTTATGATGCACTGATGATGTATGTTATGAGGATCCTGGCCAGTGATTGGGTATGTAGGCTTCTTGGGTCATTCCCTTGAGTTATTTCTTACTCTACAGATATTTGTACTCTACAGATATTTGTGTGTAGACTGCCTATGACTAAACTCTAGGACTTATTGCACACTAGGAATGTTGGACATGTCAGGATGTTGGCTACTCTTGGTTCGAGTCCTTGAATAGCTGACTATGATGAGATATGATGCTATGTTTATGCTGTATTATTATATATATGCTTTATATCTGACTTGTCATGCAGGAAGTGGGTTCAAGGGAATAGAGGATTCTCTATAAACCTCGAGCTTACTGAGATTGTATTATCTCACCTCTTCTTGGGGACATCATTTCAGGTACCTATCATAGTGGTGAGCCCTCCATGGGCAAGGACCAGGCACGTGGCTAGTGGAGTGCAGTTGGATATTTATTTGATAGCATGTTTAGTGTTTGTACCATGCTATAGTCATGTTATTTTGAGATCATGGTAATTGTGTAATAATGCTCATGACGTGTATTTGATGAGTTGATGGGAGAATTATGTATTGACTATGTATTTATTTAGATGCATATATTGATGATATAAACATGATGTAATCGATGTTTTAGTTTTGGGCATGAAGCCTTTATGTATGTATTGAGCCATTAAGGGGATCACAGTCCGTGTGGGACTTGTGAGATGAATGATTTTATAAACTGTGTCTATCAGGATTATGTTATTGAGTGATATTCTTATCTCCTAGATATCCGTTAAACAGTCGTTATGCTGTCTGTGAGACTCTAGCAGAAATGACACTTGTTGTCATATCTGGTTAGTCAATGGCCATTAATAATGGCTAATGAGATTAGTTAGTAGATGTATGTTTTAGAATTACGCTCATGTGATATCTCATGTGAACGCTTTTGGAAATATTTTAGAAAATGTTTTGGAAAAAGTTAACTCATATTTTTATAAGACGATTTCATATTTAATAAAATAAAGTCTTTCGCTGTGTATGCTATAATATCATGTATGTTAACAACCGAAGTATTACGGGGTGTTATAATATCATGTATGCTATAAAGCGATGATAGGTGCAGAGACTCAATGGAAGCTGTTCTAACAAATGGAGTTGACAACATTTCCTTTTGTACTAGGAATTCCTACCAGTTGTTGCTTCATTGAATTTGCTTCATTAATAGGATCACGATTCGACTTTGATCGTTATGGACTGGTGCCACGATCTTTTTTAAATTGAATCAGTCGTGAAATAAAATGCCATGTATATTGTGTATCTAGGAAGAATTCACTTTAAGACTACTAACTAATCCCTAGATACATCTATTACATTTTTTCACCTATTCAAGCTCAAAACAGCCCCACCAACTCAAATTTTTAAGAAAACAACCTAAAAATACAACTTCCATAAAAAACTTGAGTGAAAAGATGATGTCTTACCATGGATGATCTTAGAATCACTTAGGGAGTGGATTTCAAGTCTCCAGTGTGATCAAACAACCCTCCAAGCCCTCTTTCCACACTTAGGTCAGCATTTTCTCAAGAGTTTTTCTCTCTACACACAAGCTTTTGTTCAATTGTGGATTATAGGTTTTACTTACCAAGTGTTTCCAAGCATTTTAGCTTCAAACCATTTGTGATTTCATTTAGTACCGAGGAAGTTGTGTTTTTGAGTTACTCTTCAATGGGGTTCGGGTATGGTGGAGAGCCAACGAAGTAGAAGAAGAAATGTCTTAAAATGCGTAAGCTATAATTTGAATAAAGCATAAAGCAAAAATTAAACTAATGCCTCTTGTTATGTCCTTTTCTTCATTTAAATTCTAAGACCACATTTAATTCATAAAGTGCGGTTTTCAACTTTGCCAATCATATTAAATAATCTCCCACAATATTATTTTACGGTTCTGGGTATAATTTGATTAATTACCATTTTATCTCAAAACTCTCACTATGCACTTTTTGCTCAAAAGTGACTTTAAATCATCTAATTAATCCTTTTACCAAATTAAACTCAAAAATCCATGATTAAATCTTTAATCACATGCAATTTCATAATTATACAAGTTAATGTTATTATACATTGGATAGATTAATGACATAAGAAGGATTATAAGATTTCTTATTTTTACACTTACCCCTGTGTTAATATATGTAATATATGAATGAGTATAGGGTTTAGCATTTCATCAAAATCAGTGGTTTAAATGTTGCTGATGTCTAGTTTCAATTTGTTTCTGATAGTGATTTCAATTTTGTTTGTGATGACTGATGAGCATGGGGCTTGTAAGAGTGTTTGTAATAGTGAATCACATAATGTTGCTCCTTTTGAAGGGGCTGCTTAAAGGATCACAGGATTAATTTAAGCTATATTATCAACTTTTATCGAAAATTACCCCAGAGAATCTTTACGTCATAGCCTGTCACATATTTTATGACTTGATCTAACTGCACTCAATTGCTTGAACCCTTGTCTAGGTGCAAAACTGATGAGAAATTTGAATCTATGCATACAAAAATAATTTGTATAATTCAAATAGCAAGATACTGATTCTCAAATTTTTCTGTTATAAGCATGTAATGGCAACTATAGATTGGAAATTAGAGAAGCACAAGTAGAAATAAATGCAGAGGGTTTTATTTGTACGATGAACTAATGAATCAGAATCCATAAACAAGAAGAGAGATAAGGAGAAGAGGATACAGTTAACAAAAAGAAGATTGATTTACCCTAAAACAACCTTCTCTTAACTCAATCCTTACTAAAATACCCATCCTCCTTTTGCTCAACAAATCCTTTACAATTGGTTCACCATTTTCAGCTCACAGTTGTCACAATCACCAAAGATGAACTGAGCTTTATTTCAAAAGTAGATGGGGAATAACAAATTCAAAGGTTGCAGATTTTGCTTGTATGGTTTATCTTACCTTGAATGGAATGGGTATCAAGTACAGGTCATATTTTCTTCTAACAGCCACTCCAAATTGCTCAGTCATATCCAAGTCCTCACTCTTCATTCCATTAGGAATTTTCCAATCAAAGTGATACAACAACAATGCAAGGGCCAACTCAACATTTATTAAACCCAGTGTGCTACCTGGGCATATTCTTCTTCCAGCTCCAAAAGGAATGTACTCAAAATTACTTCCTTTATAATTTATAGAGCTATTCATGAATCTCTCTGGATAAAACCTCTCTGGTTCAATCCAGTACTTTGGATCTCTTCCAATTGCCCAAGCATTGACAATGACCCGACTTTTGGCTGGTATGTGATACCCATTAATCTCACATGCTTGCCCACATTCTCTTGGAAGTAAAAGAGGAACTGGAGGGTGTAACCTCAAGGCCTCTTTGACAACAAATTTCAAATATTTGAGTTCATTGATGCAAATTTCATCAACCATTCCTTTCATATTGAATACTTCTCTCACCTCATGTTGCGCTTTCTTCATTACTCTTGGATCCTTGACCATCTCTGCCATTGCCCAATCTATGGTAGTTGCTGCTGTCTCACCTCCAGCAACAAAGATATCCTGAAAAGTAATTATCGGTGGGGTTAAGCTAAGAAAGGATAACCAAAGAGACACTATCAGAAATATAATACAAAGATCATTAATCTGCCTTCACCGAACAAACATAAGTTTTTGATGTAGTTGCTTGCTTAAGATGGTATGGTAGCAGAGCTGTGATCAATGATCAAGAGTTTACTATTTGATGCCTCATGTTCTTCTAATTATTTTCTCATTAAATATTGTGAAATTTCTTAGCATAGGTAGGTGTATTGTCCATATTTCAAACTCAATGGACTCTTACATGAGGGCGTGTTAGAAATATAATATAACAGCTTAAGCTTTTGGGATAATTGGTTGCTAACATGTCAAATCCTGTGCACAAGTAGTCAAAATTAATCTAAGTTCGACAACAAAGGGGATAGATTCTCTTCATAAAAGAATTTGCGAGGTGTTGATATCCTTACCAGGGTTATAGCCTTTATATTGTTATTAGTTAAGCAAATATCCTGGTTGCTGCCATTACCATCCTGAAATTTTAAGAGAACATCTATCAGATCTTCCTCTGCATCATCTTTGCCTTCTTTGGGTTTTGACTTCTCTTTATGTTCAGTGATGATGTTTTCCAATATTTGATCAACTTTCCGATGCAACCTCTCAAGCTTAGGCCTCAAACCAGTAACGTGTTGAAGCCATTTAGCAGAAGGAAACATATCTCCTATGTCAAAACCTCCTGCGACTGTTATTGTTTCTTTGGCCGCTGATATGAATTCTTCTTGGTCTTTGCATTTCTTGCCAAATGCAGCCCTTGAAGTGATAGTAAATATTGATGAAGTTACTGCTTGTGTAATGTTGACGGGTGATCCTTTCTGTGAATCAATCCTTTTGATAAGATTGGTTAGCTCTTCTTCTCTTATTGGCTGGAATGAACTGACACGCTTTTGGGTGAAAAGTTCCAGTGTGCATATTTTTCTTAGTTGTCTCCAATAATTTCCGTAAGGTGAAAAACCAATATTTGTGGATTCGTAAGACAATATTTCTGTAGCTAGAATAGGAGGCCTTGATGCAAAGATGACATCATGAGTTTTCATTACCTCCCTAGCATACTCTGGTGAGGAAACAACGATTGTGAAGACCTCTCCAAGTTGTAAATGCATCAAGGGTCCATAAATATTGGCCAAATTTTTTATTTTTCGATGTGGTGTAGATGTAACAAGATGGGGTATATGTCCTATAATTGGTAGCTTCCATGGCCCAGGAGGTATATTTGGAGTTGAGTCACTTTTCTTGAGATTCCTCCCAATTTTTAGTGCCACAAATAAGAAGAGGATAAAGAGGATAATGGCTAATAAGTGAAGGATTGGATGATCCATGAAGATAAAGATTGTTGAGGGTGGAAAGGGAGGGAGAACAGAATAAAAAGACTTGGTGTTTTTGGTTGCTGTATATTGCTTGATATATCTGGTAGTTTTCTGTTGCTGCAACTTGCAGTACATGTGTTCATTATAAAGAGTCTTTTTATAGCATGCACAAGCGTGCCTATAACTTTATGAGTTACTCACTTTTCATTGCTTTATTTATTTTTTCATGCTTTGAATTGCTTCCTTTGAGAATTTTTTAGTCCTTGATTGCTCTCGGTTTTTTGCATTTTCTGTTTAGCATAATTTTTTATAGATTATCTTCTAATTGAGACCCTGTGTAATCTGCAACTTGAAGTACATGTGTTCATTATAAAGAATCTTTATTTAGCATGCACAAGCATGCCTATAACTTTCTGAGTTTCTAACTTTTCGTTGCTTTATTTATTTTTTCATGCTTTGACTTGCTTCCTTTGTGAATTTTTTAGTCCTTGATTGCTCTCGGTTTTTGCATTTTCTGTTTAGCATAACTTTTTATACATTATCTTCTAATAGAGACCCTGTGTAATCTGCAACTTGTACTATTTTACTCCTCTTTTTTTCTCCTACCTCACGTGATGAAAGCCGGCTGGCTATTTAGTTTATGACTAACTGCTTCCTTGGATTAGGGAATTACACGTTACAAGGAGGAAAAACTTTTAAGAATTCTAGGTGATTATTATTTAACTTACAAAATGACATGGAGAAATATGTACATTAAAAGTACAAGAATTTCACAGCTAGAGTCCTTCAATCCTCGTTTAAAAATGTGAGAAAATGAGGTGGAAGAAGGGTTGTCATAGGGGATAAAATAAACTAATTTTTGTCTCACTAAGTTAATGTACTTGGGTTAGTTGCTCCTCGGTCTTTTTTCAATTAATGGATGTTTACATATTTGAATTCATCTCATATAGATAGCTGATAATAAAGATGAAGATATTTAACGAAAAGAATCGTAGAAACCAATGTTTTAAAACTCCACTCTGCCTCCGGTTGACCCGGGTCAACCCTGACGCCTCCCCTCTGAAGGTTGGGGTCACAAGTTGGACCCTATATGCATATCGACCCCCCGACCCCCAAAACCTGGCCGGGTTTCAGTGACTCCCGGGTCAAAGGGGTCAAAGGGAGTCACTGCATGTTTTTTTTTTTTTAAAAAAAAATTACATGAAACAACATCGTTTTATTAAAAAAATAAAATAAAAATGCTTGTAAACCTAAATCTAATCGTTCTCTTATCTCCCAACGACCTAGACGTCTTCAATCTTCACGTCGTTGCTGTGAATCTTCTAGAAAAGGTAAGAATTTTACCCATTCAAATGAAATCCTTACAGTCGTCGATGGAAAACAAAAACTCTTTCTTACTTCCTTTAAATTTTCCTTTGTTAGGGACCTTCTCAAAAGAGGCAGAACCGGGTTAGCGTAGTGACTCCATTAGAATATGAGTTTTGTACTTTGGTACCTTGATACTTTAATTAGGTTGTGTAATATTGACTTGTGGTTGTAATTGGTGAATTATGTTAAGTATATTTTGAATCTTTGATGATTGGTGGTTTATTTTTAATATTTTCATATAGGATATATATATTTATATTTTTAATATATAAAACTGGGTCAGCGTAGTGACTCTGTGACCCTTCGTTTGAATCCGTGATCCCGTGACCCCTGACCTCGGCCGGGTCGATGGCCGGAAACTTTGTTACTAAGAACTTAACACGAAAAGAATAAGAGGTCGACCGAAATTTCTCGAGGAAAAATAATAAAATAAGATTTAATGAAAGTGGAAATTAAGTTGGCGAATACTGTGTCTTAGGATTAATAGGAGTAAAGCTATAAATATTATGGGGGAGAGACCCTTTTTTCTTCCTATATTCTAGACACTCTAATATTTTTTCCTATATATCCCTTCATTTCTTTAGTTGATTATTTCCTTTTCTAATTTATTTCCCCCCAACACCAGTCATCCCAACCAAGGTGATCTAAGTCATGAGCCCCACTTAGTAGCAAATACAAAACTTTTACATCCCAACCAAGGTGATCTAAGTCCTGAGCCCCACTTAGTAGTAAATACAAAGCTTTTACAGATATCAACTCCCCCGTAAGTAAGGACCAATGCTTTTGATCAAGAGGATCCAGTGAAGAGGGAGAAATTACATTCTAAGGTAAGCAATTTTTTAAAATATCAATATGCCCAGTCCCAGAATCAGAAATTTAATCAATAATTTGAATTTTTATTGATTTTTTTATTTTTATTTTATCCTTTTCTATTTTTTATTTTTCCTCTTATTTATCTTTTTTTTAACCTTTTATTTATTTATTTTTTTATTTTTAGATTTTAGATTTTTATTTTTTTATTTTTCTTATTTTTCCCCACAATCTTTGCTTTTGGGTTCATCAACCACGACTCTAACGAATTTGAAATAAATATATTCTTGATGTTATACTGTTTACCCATTTGATTTCTTTTTGCCCTATAGATTGTATCCTTGTTCGTAATATAATGCTCAGGTTCTTTGCCTATGAGCTAGCTGCGGGAAATTCTTTCTTTGCTTCTTTCCTTATTTTCGGTCTTATAGTGCTCTATTTGTTTTTCCTTTGATTAAATATATTCTAAAAAATACATATTATCATTTAATGTTTTCAATATAAAAATTTAGGGGGCAAAGCCGTTGTCTCATTTCAATAATTCAAAGTACATACTACACAATTCAGTAAATATTTATAGTGATACTTATAAAACAAGAAACAGCTGCAGGATTTCAATCCATGGCTTTTTTTGTTCTGCTTATGTGATTCTATTAGCTGAACTAACCTTTTGCTGGAACGATTTATTTGTTAAAATTTAAGAAAAACTATAGAAAACATTATTAGAAGAATATTCACGTAATTATTTGTTGTCTCTCTCACGCCTCATAGCATCTCTCTGTTCCTCTTCAACTTCAGGTCAATCTCTTTTTCTTTCTGTCTCTTTCCGCTGCTGGCTCCAGATTGGGATGTTTGTTGCTTGATTAGTGATGAACAAATGGGACATTTATTGCTCAGACAGCATCCTAGCTCCTCAGTTGAATTGCTGGGATATTTATGTTCTTCAAAATTCAGGACCATATGGTTATATTAGATTGTTTCTCTTAAAAGAAAAAAGGAAAAAAATAGTAATTTGATCAGCTAAAATCTATTTTTAGAATGATCTTAGTGATGAGTTAAGTTTTGAGATAGAAGATTATTCTTGAGGCAGCGAATAAGGATTTCTCATGCCCCTATCCTTACAAGTCAGGTTTCATGAGTGGTGATTTTAAATCTTCATTTTCCTATGTATATATTAACTGAAAGGTTGAAAGTGCATTAAGCATCATATCTTTCAGAACAACAGAGATGGGTTGTAGATGCTATGCTACAAAACTATTTAAGTATGGTTCATCCCAAAACAATTAGGATATATATGACAAAACCTAACTAAAGGATTTTGCCTTGTGTTATTTCGTTGTGCTTATAACAACGGCCTTTTGACTTTGATGATGTGACTTTTAAAATGTATGACCGAAATAATTTGTGGGTCAAAAATTTTGCCAATATAATGCATAACAACGCGGTTGGGAAACGGATCTAAGGACATGATAGGATTCATGCCGCGTCTTGTACAGTCTTTTGGCACGGTCATCAGTGTTCCTAAGACGTGATACCTTCCCTGCCACGTCTAGTACAACTTTTGGCACGGTAATCGATGCTTCTAAGACGTGATACTTTACCTGTCGCGTCCTGTAAACAAACAATACCCCTTCTCTTTCTTTCAATCTGTTTCAACTTTCAATTCATTTTTTTGCATTTAATAATGAAATTTTAGTAAGAGAACTACTTAAGTGAACTACGACATTTTTGTTTGCTCATATCATGTATTTATTTTAATTAAAAAAAGTTCTGTGGCACTGTGCAAAGTTGTGAAAGCTTAAAATAAATATCGATAAGTAATGTGTCAACAAAGAGATGACCTATGAGTTGTACAATTGTTCGTTGGCTCTGTCTAGCTAGGTAAAGAGTACTTTATTTTATTTTATAAATTATATGTATCGTCTGCAAAAGATAATCTTGTTTGGGACGAATCCATCATTAAAGTTTTAAATTCGGTTCGGCCATTGAAGTGGTCAGGGGTCACGAGTTCAATTGGGGGGTTACGAGGTCACTTTCACTGACCCGATTTTAATCATTAAAAAATATACACAAAATGACGTCATTTGATGTGTAAACAAAAACAAAAACAAAAACAAAAGCTCGTTGTTGCCTAGATTTAGAACTAGATCTGAAATTTGAATCATTCTTCTTAATTTCTTCCGATCTTCTAGACCCAATCTCCTTGTTCCAGTGATCTCCTCCACCATGCTGGTTCTCTCTCCCCACCGTTAATTTTTCATGTCGCCGTCTCTCTTCCGCTATTCTCTATTGAGTAAGGGATCTCCTTTCTCTATTTGTGTATCTAAATATTTTTTAATGTTTAAAATCGGGTCAGTGAAGTGACCCCGTAACCCCCCAATTGAAATATTTGTGTATCTACTGAGTAAGGGATTTCCTTTCTCTATTGGCACAGTGCCACAGATTTTTTTTTAATTAAAATAAATACATGATATGAGCAAACAAAAATGTCGTAGTTCACTTAAGTAGTTCTCTTACCAAAATTTCATTATTAAATGCAAAAAAATAAATTGAAAGTTGAAACAGATAGAAAGAAAGAGAAGGGGCATTGTTTGTTTACAGGACGTGGCAGGTAAGGTATCACGTCTTAGGAGCATCGATTATCGTGCCAAAAGTTGTACTGGACGTGGCAGGGAAGGTATCACGTCTTAGGAACACTGATGACCGTGCCAAAAGACTGTACATGACGCGGCATGGATCCTATCATGTCCTTAAGCGTCTGTTTCCCAACCGCGTTGTTATGCATTATATTGGCAAAACTTTTGACCCACAAATTATTTCGGTCATACATTTTAAAAATCACATCACCAAGGTGAAAAGGCATATAACAACTAAAAA